CTTCAGCTGAGCACCAACAGCTCAAATTTTAGATGTGAAACAAGGGTCTTTCTATACAAACACAGAATTCACAAACTGTTTCCTATCTGGTCGACAAAGTTGCCAAATATTTTCATATACAGAAAAACATTGGTGACTGAGTTGTGCTATAAAAACAATAGAACATCTTGAGGATTTCACTTAATAATTCCATGTGGTCTGGCATTAATCAATTGGACATCTTCAGAAAAAATATGTTTTCTTAGTGGGGAAAATACAGTTCTTCCAAGAAAGTCACCTTCAGTATTTCACATGTTTATATTTTTGCTTAGAGAAGCATCATTTTAAAACAACAATTGAGAAGGAGCCAAGGATGATTTAATGATGCACTTACTGAAACCTCTGCAAATTGTCCTTTTTTTTTTTTTTTTTTTTGTCAGCTTTCAATATACAAAATCTGCCCTGGCACTTGTAATCTTAATATCACATTCTTTTTTTTTTCCACCAGGACAGTTCTGACTTCTGGTTATGAGTCATGCTAAATTATAAATACAAACAGAAGCATGGATCACATTGCTTTCAAATAATATGCCGACATATTATTAAAAATAGACAGCCCCATCCTTCATTTTTGTTCTGGTTCATTATTTATAAAATTATTTTAAATCAGCACATGACACTCCATATCACCTTAGCATGTGCTACAAGTGACATCTCAGCATGAAAATCTTTACTTGTAAAGAAAAATCTACAGTCTCCTAAATGTAAAGCTCATGTATTTTGTCATGGAACCAGTTACACCTCTGCAGGCTGATTGTTCAACAGGAGAAGGAATCTAATACTGAACAAACTTCTCCTTTCCCAAACCAGTGGAGAAGGGAAGATGACAGTCACTTGCAGATTCTAACTAAAAAAAAAAGTCTGATACATAACAAATAAAGGAATTCTCCAATTTCCAAACCCTGAGTTCCTCACTGGGTGTTTAATTTATTTAATTTAGACTGGGAACTGTTTGATGGAAGTCCTGGAAAGCACTAATTTCTCTCAAAGGTGCAGGACCAACACCTAAATAAAGACAGATCTGTGGATAAAACCTGATTTAAGCTTCTGCATACTTGAAAAAATTCTACTGATGACAATGCAGTTATTCTCACCAGAAAGTCACCAGTCATTACTACTTCTGCACAGCAAATACAATGAAGGGAAATTTCATTTTAATTATAAATGAAGTTTGCTGCCAGAATGATGCATCATTTTAGCATGCAAATTATTCTATCTTAAATTTCAGGAGAAAGTAAGCCTAAACCAGATATCTTCCTCAGGGTCTACATTAACTGGGCTGAAGATCAGTAATTAAAAATCACAGCTATGAAAGAGAAGGATGGTCAAACATTTAACCATTCTTCCTACTCTGGAAGTTCTATATCACTCCCTTAGAATTTTTGGCATACTGCAGTGACCAAGGTTCATTGCTATTTTGGCTCCGTTCCACAAGACCTTGGCTACATTGAGTACTTCACCCCAAACCCTCCAATCGAAAAGAAAATAAACTCTATCTTTGAAGTCAGACATATTCATCAGTGGAAACCATAGGCTTTAAGGCAGTAGAGGTTGTTCATATGCTTGAGTATCAATTAGTATTTGGCTGAAACGTGCTCCAGAGAGGATTTTTTAATCTAAGATCAACAATGACGACATGCAAGCTTTGCAGTCTGATTTAGTTCTGCACGATTCAAAGGCTAAGAACCAGCAGAAGTCATATGTATAAATTCCCTATTGTATACATGATAGTAACATCTCTTGATGGCTTTTTTAATTCAAGCTACGATTTTATGTTAGATGTCTACCAGTACATATTCTGACAAACACCTTCAACTACACCAAGAGAGCACAGAGAACCAATTAATAACTCTTCTGTAGTTTTATTCTGAATATCAGGTCATTAGATTATAACTACTTTGTGCTGCAGTTAATTGACAACAATAAGCACTTTGCAAAACCCTGTGCACTGTATCCTCCAACCACAAAATACCAGCCCCATGAAGTACTGGAAAAACTGTAAGCGTACTCTGTTCTATTCTGACTGTCTTCACTATGTTTTAAGACCCACGCTATGAAGTCTCATTCGCTTTGTTCTAAGGAATCTAACTTCCTTGTCACTAGTAATTTACAACCCTAGAGTAATGTTCAACACTCATTACACAAGTCTTTTTGAAAACTTGAGTTAATAAGGAGCAATTAAAATTTGCTTGCTTTTTCAGAGGAGCCTATGATTTTACACAATGAACCCACAAAATATTTCAGGTGTCTCCTCACCAAGGCAGCATCTACAGGCCTCACATGCATAACAGAAGAATAGGATTTCTGTACTTCAAATCCCACTACAGCAACTACCTCAATATGCTAGGTTGCCAGGCCAACTGCTGTGCCTTGGGGAGTAAGAGGCCTTACTAGGTCCACATCACTTGCAATGCTGACTTCTTTTTTTTTAATCCAGCAATTCAGGAACACAGTGGTCACAAAAGACACAGGGTACAAACTCACTTCCCACCTCTCCCCAAGAAAGTGCCAGTCAGCATTCCACACCTGCACGACATTACTCAAACTAGTGGTCAGTAGACTCGTGCAGGATGCTCTGTCTTCCCTACTTCAACTGTAATAGTTAACTAGTCTCTTATGAGAGACAGGGAGAATGAGCATAACTCACTCCTACTCACCTAAGCAAAAGAAAGAAATCAGCTGAGATTTTCTTACAGTGAATGATGATACACTCAATACTAAACAGGCATCTGATAAATTGCCTATATAGGTACACAGGTGAACACACACAGATGGGTAGAGGAATTAAAACCAGGTGTCTCACGTCTTTAGCTAACATTAACTATTGCAGTACAGAATGGTGATGGGGGAATCACTGCCTTTTCCTTCTGGTGCTCATTAATAAAGACAAATATTCTCACTCACAGCTCTGTATAGGAAAAACACTTGTCTCCCACATTCTGGACCAATGCTACTGATCACTCAGTAACTAAGACATGAACAGGATGCAGTAAAGTCCCATGGCAGCATACAGAGAAACATCTGAGCACGTAATTTGATATTGAAAATAGAACTGCCAGCTGTTTCTTCTGAGTAGTGATATCACATTCCCCCAGTATAAGGGGATTAAAAAAAAAGTTAAGAAAACACATGAATTGGTAATTGCGTTACTTCCTTTTTCTAGAGTACTTTAACTAGATGCATCACAAATACAGGTTGACTCCAGAAAGAAAAGTCATGGAAAAGATGCTTTTTTTTTTTTTTTTCCTCCTGAGATCTCTCAAACAATGTACTTAGCTTTTCTTTCTGTTGACACATGTTCTAGGACAATAAAATGGTATTGCTTTCTTCCATCTATGCCTTAACAAATTTCACTATATCATAGTCCACTAGGTTCCCATTTCCATGTATTGCCATCTGGATCTCATCTTTATGAATACAAGTTACATTCACCCACTTACTTGGCTCACTTAATCTGTAGGGACTTGTTAAATGGCTTTGAAAATTATTTACTAAAAAAATGAAAGCTAAAGATTTAACAGGAGAAGAGATTAAGTAGAAAACGTCTTACTTTAGTGTCAGAATTAAATTATCAATGATTTTGGGCTTCTTGCACTGATCAGCTGATTTCTGCTTTTTGCTTTTTATTTACATTTGTTCTCTGCATGCTTGTTCTAAAACACTGATTACTCAGAAGGCATACAAGTTCACAGCAAGGATCTAGTCACACATTTCAGACATCTGAAATACAAATGTGTAATGTGAGAAAATTAAAGAGTCCAAATGCTAGTGCTTTGTTTCTGAAGCGGTGCAGAACACATTCACTGAGCACCGAAGAGTTGTTTCATTTAAACTGGTTCTCTTTTGCTCACTAAGTTGATTTTCATAAAAAATTACCAGACTGGACAGTCCAAATTTCTTCACAGGACATGCCTGTTACAGCTTTGTTGCCCTGCATTGGATGCTTTAATCTATCTAGATCCCTCTGCAAGGCTCCAGAGAGTCAACAGCACCCCCTAGTTTGGATCTCAGCTGCAGCTCTAAGCATTTCTAGGGATCTATTTAACTCCTGCAATCAGATCATTAATAAAAATGGAAGTAACACTCAACAATTTTGAATAAGCGACATGCAACCCATTAGTTAAAAGAGAACTCTTTCCAATCTTTAAGCATTCTACCAAGCACTTAAAACTCCACCCAGCAATTAAAAAGTACACCCTGCAGCTGTAGTGCCTTATGCTTTACTGAGATGCCCTTTTGGATAATGAACCACTGCTCTGAGCCCTAGTATCCATTTAAAAGTGAAATTTTAAAACTGTTGTAAAAACTGGCCAGGTCAAAAAGGTAAGCCCAGACAGCCAAAAATCTATCTGGATTCCTCCTGTAACATTCTGTCAAGCAGCTGGGATAACTTCAGCTATTAAAATTTTCTTTTGACTAGAGATTTAATAGCAGGCCCGTGGTCTTCAAGGACCAATATTGCCTCTGGCTGGTTCTCAATTCCAACAGCAGTCCAACTTTTTCTAGGCAAAGTTTCAATCTGTTTGTCCAGTCTTAGCAAGGCACCATCTGAGGCACGGCACCACGCCATTCTCAACCAATGGGCTAAACATCACACTGCCCTCACTGTAGCTTCATCCAAACCAAATGAAAACACTGTTGTTCTCTGCCCTCCAAAATGTTCTTAGTTTTGAGGTCACTCATACTCTGAGATTTGGATCCCTTTAGAGCATAGACCTAACAGATTTCCAATCTTATGCCGTGGTGCATCTTTTACTTGGCATTTCACTGGCAGGCTGAGGAAGATGGAAGAAAACAGACAAACTGGGGACCTCACTGCTTTCTAAGAATGTCATGAAACATTGACCTTAATTATTGCTTCTCAGATTACATCAGCAGAACAAGCCCAAACTGTATTTACAGCTGTCAAGACTGCCCTCCCTGCCCCCCCCCCAAAAAAAAAAAATAAACAGCCACAAACTTAGTTTGATGTGGTAATAATTTCTGAACTGAACTCTGATATTGTTGAAATCCCCCTCGCAAAAAACTTGCATATCTCCCGTCCGGCCACAGTTGTCACCAGAACAAATTACCACCTTGCATTACCAGTGGTTCAAACAGCTTCCTGGTAGGAACTGCAGGAGGAACAGAAAATGGTGCAAATCTCTAAACGATGTACCATCACTCAAATGTTAAAACTGTACTTGTGAACAACTGCAATTAGAGTTGGGCCAGGGCAAAGTTAGCTCAGCTGCTTCTGAACACACCTGTTTCAATTTAATTTGTAATTAAGAAGCCTAGGGCACCAGGAAAAAAAAAAAGCTTTTCAGTTACTATTTCAAACAGCAGAGATTTCATGTGCCATTTAAAATCCTGTTTTTCAGAACAGACTGCTGACTTGCTAACGCTAGCAGAATGAAATAAAGGAAAATATTTTTAGCAGCAGGAAGTTGTTACTTGCTACTGCCAATTACATGCCTTGTACTTGAACAGTGACATTTTTCCCCCTTTGCTTATTTCTCAAGATAGGTAAAAACTGGCTTAGGTCTCTGTGCATGAGAATTTGAAAAAAACCCTTAGTCCCCTGGAGCTGGCCGACACTTTTGGAGTCATAGCCAATACTGGCAACAATCTGCTGTGACAGAGCAAACAACGGTGTCCTAGATCCACTCTTCAGAAAAGGGGAAAGGAGAAGATTAAGCAAGAGACTTGGATCTATTGACTTTGGCAAAAGGCTGAATACCTTGTCATGCTAATAAAATTACTGAATTTGGGGGAGGAGAAATTGGGGCAGAGGGGGAGAAATAAGAAAAAGCATAAAAATTACATAAGAATATTTATACTCTGAGTTAATTTATCAAGCTGACACAAAGATGAATCATCCACCATTAAAATGGACACAAGGTTTCTTTATATCACAATTATTATTTACAACTCTTCTAAATGTTCATGGAGGAGTCAAATATCCTCATCTTTTAATTTAAAATGTGATCTTGCAAGCCAAAATAGAACTGTTGGCAAAACTAAGTTTCTACAGGAATAGTGCCCAAGGAATGATTTCTTCAAAAACAGGATATCTTACCAGGGATCATGGCACTTTTTTTTTTTTTTTTTTTTTTAAACCTACAGAGTGAGAGACATGGGGCTCAAGGAACTTAGAGATCAGAAGTAGATCTCTAAGAAACACCATAATGACACTAAGTAATACCGAGGGCCTGTGGTATTGACAGATATTTGCTACTTCTGACTCATTTGAAAACTGTAGCACAAAGATCAGTTATTTTTCTGAAGTAACATACAACTCTGCTTTGACACATATTAATTCCCACATACTGAAATTTCTCATGAAGCCAATACAGTCGCTCTAAGTTAACTAACTTGAATTGTATATGGAAAGGTAAAAGTCCATTATTTAACCACTGCTCTCTACTCTACTTTTAAGCCAGTGGATGCAACCATAGCATTGTGTTCTGAGGTTGAAAAGAAATAAGTATCTCAGAAAAACACAACTTTACTTCCTGAATATTGTTTGGACAATTTAAGACAGTTTTTAATACTAACAGTCATTAAATCCCATAGATTGACAAGGATGTGTATTTAAAAAACTGTACAAGAAAACAAACAAAGAAATCCATATGATAAAGTGAGTGTTAGTAGCCAGCACCATCACGTCATTATTGAACTCTATGGAATATAACAGCATCTACCTGAAATGTGCTTATATAAACCCACAAACAACAGAAAATATATGAATACTACATCTTTTATTCATTTGACTTTTCAGCTTCAATAGGCAACTTCTTTAGAATCCAGGTTTTAAGTTCTTCTATTTCATTTCTGTTTAACTCATGATTGAGGTTTGGAAAAGTATGAAGAGAAGTTGATACTCCCAGTGACTTTAACATCTTGTTCGTTTCTTCACCCCAAGAATACAGAACTAGGTCATCAGCAGTTCCATGACACTGAAATAATTCTGGAAGAACACTTTCATTTTTTTTCAAAGCCTAGATGGAGAAGAAACACTGTGTAACACATCACCATACATTTTCAAAGAATATTTACAATTACATGCTGACAATTTACGTAACAGTTCAATTTACTAATCTGCCTATTAGTGCAGATATTGTATTGTCTCTATAAAAACAAACTAAGAAATATTGCTGGAAAAAAACTGCATTTCAAGTTCCAGTGGTAAGTCTTGAAAATGATAAGGCTTAAATTTAAGACTACATCCCTTTCCAAACAAGAGAAAGGAAATAAATTCATGGCAGCAGATGGAGCCAATGAGTACTATAATTCACTATAAATTTCCAAAGAGCAGTTACATCAACATGGACTCTAAAAACTATTGACAACTTACAAAGCATTTAGTTTGTTAATTCTCCTTCTACATTGATTTAGCCTGAAAAAAGTAGTTGTACTATCTGTTCAAAAAGCAACAAAACATTATGTAAGGACAGTTCTAAAGTTTATTTCTCTAACGCTCTGCTTACCTGTTTAAAGGTAAATAAAAGTTTAGAATGTTAATCTAATATATCAGATGAAGAAACATGCTATATTTGATTTTAATTATCATGCTTTACTTTAAGCCAAGCAACATTACTGTGAAAACTTTTCACACTCACCTCATATACAGCAGAATCTTTATTGAGAAAACTAGACAGTGCAAAGACTCCTGCCAGATCTTGATGAAACCTATATGCTAAATGCATTGCCATTCCACCTCCCATAGAAAAGCCTCCTGTGATGGAATAAAATAAACAAATACAGGATTTTACTATACATTTGTAATCCAGTTTGATTATTTTTATCTTCAGACCTTTTATGCACAGTGCAACAGAAAACTATATTATTATCTTGTTACTCAAATATCTTAAATCAAAAGTTGATTCAATTCAGAAGTTGGACAGCTAAAGAAACACTAAACATTCATCGCTAGGAAAGAAAAAACAAACCAAAACACTGTGATTTTAGAAGCTGTTTGCATACGCTCTATTTCATGTATATATATTTGTATATGAATAAAGCAAAATCCTATTAACAAAATTCTCCTGTTTTTAAGGTTAATACAATTTAAGCATAAAAGATCTGTTTTGCTGTTGTATATAACCAATAAACACTCACATTAGGCAGTTTGAGGTTTTTTGTTGTTGTTGTTACTCTTAAAATAGACAACAAATAGGAAAAAAACAGTGAGGTAGCCCACCTCAGTTCATAGAATCATTTCTGTCGTAAGGGACTTACGACACCCCTGTCAATGAACAGGGGCAACTGAGTTCTAACAAGATCTCTAATCTAACAGCCTTCTGTTAAGTACGTATCTTAAACTGCACTAATTTCTTATGCAAGAATTCCTCAGGGATGATTTTTACATGACAAATACTCATTAGGAAAGAAATCCAGACCACTGCATTACTTCACAAGGATGCAGTACGTCAGATACTACACTGACTGCATCCAGATAATGACTAGCATGAAGAATGACTGGCTGGCTAAAACATCTCTAGCACACTGGCAGAAAGACTGTGACAGCAGCCATGCTCAGAGCAGCACAAGTACACGTGTACTAATGAGATCATTAGTTTGTGCCAAGCTGTTAACTAGTGTTAATTAGTAGCAAAATTCTGTATCCAAATGTTAATTAGTAGCAAAATTCTGTATCCAGACCTTCTAATGCAAAAGACCTGGAGATACAGCTTGAAGGAAAAATAAAAGTTATCAAAACATGCAGCCATTTTAGCATAGCCTTCTGAAGTGATCAACTGGAGACGTGAAAATGAACAGGGCTCCTCTGTAAGGACTATGTGAGCCCTCTGTTTTGAGTTTGTTCTGTTGCACACATAAGTTTCATATTCATACAGGTTACTGTAAAAAGCTCAACAAGTGCAGTGCCTCTGCAGTACTGAAATTGAGCCCAGTGATTTCAACTTTGATACTTCATTGGCTGCTGCAACCACATACAATATCCTGGGGGCACACAAGCTCAGAGGCAGAAAATGCTGCACTCTATAATTATTATTTGGTCATAGAGAGACAGCCTTGAACAGGGAAGCGTCCTTCAGTAAATATAATTGTAGGTCCCACAAGGTCTAAGACCCTTCTAGCTCATAGAACATCTTGTATTGTATCTTGAAGATCTGGCTTGACTTGTGTAGAAATTTTCCTACAAGCGCTAGACTAATCCCATCAATGTGTTCAGCTTCTCTCATACAACAGTATTTTTAATTTCTCATCAATTTGTGATCAGAATTTCTATTGAATTCCTGTTTATTCTTTCTAGTTACTGTCATCTCGTAGTCTTGAGGTGAATATGACCAAAACTGTAACTGAAGTATCTCAATTTAACATGAATGTCAGGGAAAAAGAACACAGTCTGGAAGATGAGAGTCTGGCCTTCCTTTGCAAACATGACCCTCAGCTGAAGCAGGAGAGTTGTATCTTCAAACTAGGAGATACAGCTGGAATCCCATAACAATATGCAAGGGAGCTGATAATACCCTGCTGCTTATCTCTGGGAAATAAAGACAGGATATGCTGTTTAAACTAAAGGTTTGTTGATTTCAAGGGTAATGTTAAAAGTAATATGCCTAAGTACTCTGTGGCAGTTCAGAAACACAAGTAGTTGAAGGATGCATGAGTAAGTAAATCCAAAACACAAACTTCACACAGTTCACATCATCTGAAGTTCTGAAGAAACTTTTCCTCACAAAGATATTGAAAACATCACTGCAAGCCTTTCACCTGCATCATCACTCCCCACCAGACATGTTCTTTCATATGTATGAGGATTCAACAATGAAAAAAATCATGCCACAAAAGATTTCAACCCCACTAACCCCACATACACAGAGAGAAAAATAAAGCCTGTGGAAGTACCTACAAATACAGTAAGTTACACAGCTATCACACAAACAACATCATGTATGGAGCTGAGTTTTTCTGTATTCTCTTCTGTGAAACCTTATCATTTCCTCCTTTTTCTTTTGGTCAGTCTGAATGACACTATTATGTCAATCCTCTGCAAGAAGCATTTTTATATTATAATAGTTTACAAAAAAAGTGCAGATCTGCTTTGTCCACATAGAAAATAAAGCCTACTTTGAATGTTTTTGAATACAAAAAAGTTTGCATTGAAAACTCATTACTAGTTTATAAATGATTTAATCTAAAATTTTGTACTGAGTTAGTCACAGTCTGGCAACTCTATCAACAATTACTCACCAGCAGTCTTTGACAATGCAGTCACCTTCTGTTTAGAAGAATATTAGGTAATGGTTCTTTCATGTGGCTCATACTACTATAAGAAAAATGTAATACAAAGGACAGCTAGCTCTTTGAAATTGGTTTTCCAGGAGAAAACCTGAATTTTATCACTTAACACCACAATAATCGGTGAACACACACCACGTAGTAAATACTTTGAAACAGTTTGAATAAGCATTTGCAGTTGGAGGCAAATCTCAACTACAAGAAGCATGACACTGTAAATGTAAATTTGACATAGCGCCAAAAAAAGATATGATCAGTCAGTAACTACTACAGGAATTCAGATTTCAGATTAGGAAAAATATTACAAATATTACAAGGGATAACGTATGAAGTGACAAAACACAAGCAACACAGAGAAGTACAAGATGCTTACGTACACTTATCATCTCAATATAACCAATACCTAAATTCTACAGCATTGTTAAGAAGATTGTCATGAATTTATTTTTCTCCCTCCTGCTCAAGCATTCTGTTTACAGGAGAGAACGTTAACTGTCTTCTCCCCTGTGCTGCACTTAGGACCTGCAATGATTCATTCCTGAGTTCAGGAAGCTCTTCACATTTTCCTAAGGGAATAAAAACTTAAATTGTTGATTGCTTCTTGATTTATAAATCTAACTGTAAAATCATAAAAATGGTTTTAATTGAACGAGACCTTTACCACCTAATTCCAACTTTCTGCCCACAGCATCGAATTCCACATGGCCCCATCCAACCTGGCCTTGAACACTTCCAGGGATGGGACATCCACAGCTTCTCTGGGTAACCTGGTCCACTGCCCCACCACCTTTATAATAAGGAATATTTTACTAATATCTAATATAAATCTACTCTTTTAGTTTAAAGTCATTATTCCTTGTATTATCTAAAGAGACTCCGATACAGTCTCTCCCCATCTTTCTTGTAAACCCATAGAATCATATGGAATTACAGACTAGTTTGGGTTGGAAAGCACCATCTGGTTCCAACCTCTTGAGTTTGTGATTGTCCAAGAGCTCCTTGTTTACCCATACAGTCTTCCTGGACTTTCTGTCTTCCTCTTTCTTAGTATTCAACACTCCAGAGTTTGGAGGAGGTAACCCTTGAATAGTAAACCAGATTTCTTGTACCCCCCCTCTCTCCAGGGCTTTATCACAGGGGACTTGACTTGAAAAAGCCAAATTATGCTCTCAAGTCCAAGACTGCAAGCTTGTTGTGAGCCTCCTCATTCTTGAACTTCACTAATTCATGGCCACCGAAGCTGTCCTTGAGCTTCACACTGTCCACAAGTCACACTTCAGCAAGACCAAGGTCCAGCACAGCACCTCTCCTCTTTTGCTCTCCTATTACTTGGAGAAGGAAGCCTTAATCATTTTGTTACACATACTGATTATGGTGATTTACGAAACAGTGAGCCAGGTAATTTCTAAGTCCTTCCCATATGATTCTTAAAAAGTGATTAAAGCTGTTTTTTCCCCAGTAAAAATCACAGTGGCAGGAAACAATTTTAATTATTAATCACATTTATTGCATGAATTCTGATGTGCACACGGAGTGCAGATCTGCTATTTGCGAAGACAAAACATCAACTCCTCTCTCATGAGTTACTGTTGCAGAATTAGAAACTAGTTCATTATAGCACAGCATCAAGAAGAAAACTGGCTAAGCGCAGACTTTTAACATAAGGATACAGATTTGGATGTAGGAGTGGGTTTTGAAGTGCTTATTTTAACTATTAGAGAAACAAAAGAAGAAATGTTGTTTACTTTTAATCTGACCTGTATTTCTTCAGACTTGTCAGTGCAGCTTTGGTAACAAAGTGGCAAGAGATGAATGTCACAGCATCTGTACCAGCACTGTGCAATCAGAGACAATTACCCTCCTGTTCTGTTGGGCTACACCAGCAGCTGGCAACTGCCTTTGCCCATTCTGTTATCATCACAATATATTACACGCTCTTGCCTAGTTTTCTTTTTGTTTTCATACCATTTTTCATTCTCCATTTCTCCTTTTTGAAATTTCAGCTTACAGTTGCTTTAATCAGTTTATTATCATGAATTTTCCTAAAGCAACATTTCAGTTTACTTTCTGCTCTCCCTAAGGACTTTCTGTGATTTACCTTCTATTAATGGTAACAGCAAATCCTTGTTCTACACATCAACTGCAAAGAAGCTGACTTTCTGTTCTGACTTTCCTTTTTCCATACATGAATGCAAGTATTATATGCACTTAACAGTGCTCATATATGAATATCAGAGAAGAGTACAAATATACCAGTGAAACAGCAAATTCCCTTCTCCACAAAAGTCCCAGAACACCGCTCCTGTGTAAGTGCTTTAACATGTACTTTGTCTCAAGTGAATTTCCTCATATCAGCCTTTTTCTCCTTTATTTTTGGAACTTCACTAATCATTAAACTTACAAACTAGCAGAACTGAAATGAACGGTTTAACCCCTAACAGCATTTCTATTCTGTTTGTTACTCACTGTCTT